TGCTTACTCTATTATTTCCAGAGCTTCATATGGGTATTAAGGGTATTGACTACTTTATTACTACGGTTTATGTAATATCCTGTAAAAAAAAAGGTGGATACAAGTCTCCCTATTTGAGTGTTCACCCGTTTTAAAATCGCGGATCTCGAGGAACACACGAATTCATTCGACCAATCAAAAACGTGGAACTAGTTCGAGAGTCTCGTTCAGGTGGCGCGTCGACGCGCCAAACACAGCTCCAGATTATCACGCGTAGTATTACTATATATACACGACCAATCAAAAACGTGGAACTGCTTCGAGGGCCCTCCGCTAAGATGGCGCGCCGAAACCAAAGAAAAATTGCCTTCACCAGAAACAGGCTCATTGGCAATCTCCCTACTCATCTCTGTCAATAAAGACGACGATGTACACCGCGCAACGGTCCGAACCAGAATCCATGATAAAAAGTTAAAAAGTTAAAATTGCCCGGCTAACTTCACTGAGGTTTCGTTGTTCATCTCCCCACTCATCTCTGCATAACAGCTCAGTGTATAGGGATTTGCAGGGATTTGGTTCGTGGTATGGTGAGTGAGTGTGTGAAGTGCGAGGTGTAAACAAAGAGCGGAATATTTTAAGAGGCAGGAGTAGTGTGGCAGGTAGAAAGTGAGCTGCAAGGTATGAGGAGATAACGAAGCAGGCACAGCGATAATAGTTTAAGCGGGGAAAGAAGGTGGTGTAAGTAGAATTAAGAAAAACGGGAGAAAAATAAATTAAAGGTTATTTAGACGGCGCAGGGAAGCAAGGGGAGAAGAAAGTAGCAGCCATCGACATATTACTATAGTACATAGTACTATCCCCCAAAAAACACTTACGTGTAAAAAACTACGCCAAGTACAGGATTGCTGTGAATTCCTCTAACAAAAAGTATTGATATCATATTATTGAGGCCAAGTACATAAGTCACTACATGGTTTCCTATTATATGATCTAGCACTGGCCCATCATTTTAATTATATTTTCAATATTTCCTATAACGTTTTCGCTACTTTTTTATGTTACTACTGCTTCCCGTATTTAATTATGACTTAATGGTGATTTAATAATTAATAAAACTTTAGACGATTCCTTATCGAGTACTACTTGGCGGGTCAGTGCATTTCTTGATATAAATTTGGTACAAAACCAGTACCAATTTCCTATAGAAAGCATATTAACAATAACTCGTCAAAAATAAACACGGTAAAAGCTTAATAACAAACATACAGCATTAGAATACTATGACCACGTGCAAAGTAAGTACTTTGGAATTCCTGGCACGGACCCATCAAGTAGTACTCGATAAGGAATCACCTAAAGTTTTATTAATTATTAAATCACCATTAAACCATAATTAAATACGGGAAGCAGCAGTAACTTAAAAGAGTAGCGAAAACGTTATAGGAAATATTGAAAATATAATTAAAATAATGGGCCAGTGCTAGATCATATAATAGGAAAACATGTAATGACTTATGTACTTGGCCTCAATAATATGATATCAATACATTTTGTTAGAGGAATTCACAGCAATCCTGTACTTGGCGTAGTTTTTTACACGTAAGTGTTTTTTGGGGGATAACACTTTATCGTGGTCATTACATGTGAATCATATAAAGAAAAAAGCATCTGGCGCACTCTATAGGATCCGCATTAACGATAACAATTTGAGTGTTTCCACCAAACGTCGCCTTATCACTGCTCTAGTCTTTCCGTTTTACGATTATTGTTCAACAGCACTTACGAATCTGTCTTGTGAACATGAACGCGCGCTATTAGTATCGCTAAACAACTGCGTTCGGTTTCTATTGAGGGTGCCCAGACATTTGAGCATATCACATCACAGACGTAATTGTGGCTGGCTTAACCCACGAAACAGACGATTACAGCTGTTAGGATGCGCCTTCTATAAAGCGCTACATTTGGGCCAATCAGGACTTTTTGCGGATCAACTTAGACTTCGTGATAACATGATTTCGCGTCGTAATCCTCTTCGCACAGATACACTTCATGTCCCTGCTGCCCGTACAGTCGCATTTCAAAAATCTTTCATAATTTCCGGCATACAATTCTGGAACTCGTTACCTCCGGATATAACGTCTGCTACTACTGTAGCAGATTTTCGAAAGCGTTGTTACTTTTACTTGAAGGTACAAGAGGATTGCGAAGTAACATAAATTAACAACTTCGAATTGTATTTGAATGTAGTAAATTAAATTAAATAAGGGTATTTTAATTAGTATAATCCTGTTAATATTATATTGATATATGTGTATTTTTGTAAACTACTTGTCCTATCTCATAATATGCCTATGTAATTTTCTGCCTACGACTCTTAGGGAGTTTCACTCCAGGGTCGAATAAACTGCTCTCTCTCTCTCTCTCTCTCTCCCACTCTCCCTCTCACTCTCCCTCTCCATCTCCATCTCATTCTCCATCTCCCTCTCCCACTCCATCTCCCTCTCCCTCTCCC